CCTGCTGATTTTTCCTAAATCAGCAACCTCAAAGGACCAAATCCTCTTGATCCAAATCCAGTGGATACAAGTCCACTGTCTTGGATCAAGCTAGACTGATTTATATCATGTGAAGAACTACTGCAGCATCCTTCTTTGTAAAGCAAAAATATCTTTTTATCTTTTTTTCTGAAAATATTTATTAAAATATAAAGCATTTTTTACAAAAAGTGCACACTTGTAATTTGAATAATGTAATAATAAAGTATTTACAGTTTAATGAAAATCCTGATAAACTTTCAAAACCAGATGTAAAGTTCCAAAGTAAAAATACTACATCATCAGTATTTAATACAAATTATGAATAGCAAGTAACAACTCATGTTTTACCACAGTAGCATAATGGTGAACCATCTGGTTTCTTCCTATTCTAGTAGGTTGGAGGTGAAAGTGTTTTTCACCATTAGAAACTGAGATTCTCTGTGGGATCTTTTCAGCTTTGCACGACGATTCTGGAACCAGATCTGAAATTTAAATAAAAGGAATACTTATCTGAAATTTGTAGATTTTCCTTTAATATTTTAAATGCAACACTACATGTGGAATAAATCTAAAAAATAATTTAAAAATTCTGACAGCTTACAAGCCAAACACAAGTTTCAAAACAGCAAATGCAGGTATATACTGGTAGTAATCTGTAGTCATTTTAATGATGTTAGCCAAACAAACTTAAAGAGAAATAAACTTTATTCTGTATTGCAAAACTGAAGATGCTGAGCATTCTGAACTAAGTTGCCAGTGGGAGTCTAGGGTACTCAATGCCTCAAAGAAGTACTTAGTTGCAGTATTAATCTGTTACAATCTGATCCAGCTCCTGTGCAAGTAAATAAAAAACCTTCCATTGACTTCAGAGGAAGTACAAAAGACCAATCCACAGCACGCTGAAGTCAACAGGATGAATTCTATTGACTTTGGACTCTTAAAATACCTGTGTACACTGGGCTCTCAACCAAATAATATATAAGTTCAAATGTGATTTAAATTTTTTTTCAACCTACCTTAACCAGCAAAATCTCTTGAAAAGTATCAATATGTTTGCTTGCATTTATTTATATTAGCTTCAAATTTAATTTTCAAATTTGGTTCCAAACCCACTACTGACAGAGTTTATAACAACTTAAAAAGAGTTTCAAACTTGAAACACTACAGGGAATGCTTTATGGTAGATGGAAGGATGATGACACTAAATGTAGCAATAAATGTCAAATCAATACTAAGCCGGGGGGGGGGGGGATGAATTTCCTTGACTTTCCTGCTACAAATCACTGCAAGCATAATGAATATTAAAAAAGTACTAATTTGTTAAGATACATAAGAATCACTGAAACTCAGATTTTTGCTTCTATCTATCATTTACATAATAAAATGACAAGATAGTATGCATGTGGTAACAGAAATATTCTGATTTTTTCCCCATGTTACCTGGATTCTGTCTTCATCTAAATCTAGTTTGTGAGCTAGTTCTTCTCTGACATCAATGCCAGGATAGGAGTTCACTCTAAACACACTTTCCAGCACTTCAATCTGAGGAGAATAAACAAACAATGCATTAAAAGCAATTGTGAACTATATGCTATATAACAACAATTTTACAGTAAAAGACTTTCCAAAAAACTTTTGTACAAATTCTAAAATTACACACCAGTGAGAGTCAGCTCAAATAAGTGATGGTACTTTGGATTTACGCCAGCCCTTAATTATACATACATCTTGCTACTCTTCATACAGTGGGATACAATATTTTATTAAGCAGTCATTACAGGCTTCCTACTAATTAATGTGTTTTACTAAACTATGAACATAGGAAAATACATATTATTGTATTTATAAACAGGTAATTGAAACCCTACCTGACTTCTAGTGAAAGCAGTTCTTGGTCTCCTGCCTCTGTACCAGCTCAGTTCTCTTTTGTAAGACACCTTTTCAGTAACTGAGAAATATTTTTCACATTTCAAAAGTCTTTCCTGCTGCATTAGGTAATTGTTAGCATGCAGTAATGGCCTTTCACAGGAAATGGCAGAGAGCTGCGTTTGTGGGTTACCATCTTCTCCTAAAACTAGAAAAATAGAATTTAAAGTTAACAGCTCTGTATTTGACATAGTTTTCAATTAAATATTTGTATTAAAATGTAATTCTGTAACAAAATGAACAGTACTTGAATGTTTCATTGATATGTCTAAATGTGCTTAAATACTTATGGAAACACATGATTAATAATATGTACATTGTACCATGTTGTAAATATACAATTGTGTTCAAATATGAAATTGAAGCAACTGGCTTACCTAAGTTGTTGCACGTATCTATCCATGGTCTGTGAGGTTTTGCAGCTGGAATGCCTTCATCTTTCTGCTCTAATCCCAAGATACTTTCAATGGAAAATGAGGAATGTGTGGCTTTATTTTCCATGGAACCAGATGCTTTCTGGCAATTCTGAGATGCTGCTGTATTGGCAGAAGGTAATGATGTACTTGCCATTCTTTCACCTTCAGTATATGTGGTGCACAGACTGTACTTGCATTTTCTTGCATTTTCTCTTTATAACTGTGTTGACAAGGGGGTTGGATTTGCTACGTCATTAATTAAAATCTTTTATTAGAAAGTTTTAGCATGTCAATGAAAACTCTCCCACCAAGAGGCACGAGGAGTTAATTGTTTATTTGTTTGCAAGTAATTAGCAACTAATGGCGACACTAGGGGGCCACCAGGAGGGACAAAAAGTGTTATCTCTTCTAACCAGAACATCGACTTAACTTTCTCAAAAGAAGCTATGCACAAATATAGTGCTTTCCTTTTATTTGAAATCATTAATGTATAAAATCATTTTTTTCTTAAACTTTATACTCTAATGGACTCCACTTACCTAAACATAGCAGTATGATAGGAAACCAGTCAAGTAATAACTAATCTCATTTAAGTGAATTTTCTTCCAAGGAAATTTAAAAAATAATCTCTTAATGCTATTAGGGTAATCCTGATGAAAATGCCTCTGTTTTTTCATATGCATATGTAATGGTGAACGTGGTCAATAAAATAACAATAGTGTTTGGCATAAGGCACACTACAGTGGGTTGGCAATGTTGTCAAAGCTCAGTGTAATTGCCTTCCAAGTGCCTGGATTAGTTAACAGGAACAGTTGCACCAAGTATTTAAAATAAATAATTCACACATTCATTTGCTTCATTTTTGTATTAAAATAATGTTGATATTGCTTTCTTGTAAGATGGTATACATGAAAACTTCTTACCAGCTTTTTAAATACTTGTAAAAACTTTTTTAAATTAATGGATTCAATGTGTCCTAATTTGTAGCTTTAAAAAAGTGAGAGCATATTTTGCTACCAGCTGTTCATCATAATCTCCTGTTTGTTTGTTTTAAACCAAAGGGAGCTTATTCCAATCAGCACTGCTAGTATTTGAAATAACCAAAGAGAGACAGAGAGAGAGAAGCTTAAGCCACTGTTTCAAAGTTCATAAGGGTTTGAAACTGGATTTGTGAATCAGCCCGTTATAAGGAACTACGTCTTGTATAAAATTCAAATCTGGATTCATGTTCATATTCCAAACACCCTCAGCATGCAGAAGTGTTTGGATCTATCTTCTAGTACAAGACTATCTTTATGCATAATATATTTTTCCAGTCTCTTCTCATTGTAAAGCCAACTTTTAAATCAAGTCCTGACGTATGCTGCAATGGGATGGATAGCTCATTATGCAGACCTGTGTGCTTTCAAGGGCAGAATCTGGCCCACCTGTTGGTGTTTTTCTCTGCTTTGATTTCTTCTGCCACTATAAAATTGGATACATGAAGTTTTGCATTAATTCTGCTTAAATAAAATTCCCACCATGCACAAAACATGCAACAACTACTCTGATGCAGTTAGAAACATGGAAATTCTGGGAAACGAAAGATCTATGTGATATACACATTAAAAACTTAATTAAAACTTCATATAAAAACAGAATTTCAGTACTGACCTGAGAGATGGTTTTACAAATATAAATTGTAAGAAGTTAAAAACTGATAGCTGCATTTATTAAAAAAAATTTTTAAAAAAAATTAAATCTTAGTCCTTTAGTGGCTACGTGCACTGCATTAGATGCAGTTTCTTCACCATCATAACCATTTAATGATACATATAATATTTGTTTATTTCAGACCTAGGTATGACCGTAAACTGCATCTGACTGGAGTGCCTGGTGGCAATGTGGTTGGGCTCTTTGTGGAGGGGTAGCTCCTATAAAATACCACACTATTGCAACCTCCAGAGTAAGGAGAGTATAGGGCACCTCAAAACCCTAGCGCCCACTGCTTTGTGGGTACTTCTTGGTTGGAGAAAGGCTAAGGGACATCACCAGGGATCCTGGTTTTCCCTGATAAAAAAATCACAGATTTTCTGATTAAACCCCCCAAAATCCATAATTAAAATTAAAGACCCCCTACAGCCCTGCTGGTGCCCCTTGCTCTCCTTCCCCCCCCCACAACCTGTAAAGCCCTGCTGGTGCCCCTCACTCCCCCAACAACAACAATCCCCCAGCCCCACACATGCAGGCACAGACATAGGCATGCAGGCACAGGCACAGACAGACACTCCCCCCCCCCCGGGGGGACCCCCCCCTCCAGAGGTAAGTGTGTATGGGGGGAAGGGGTGGGAAGGGGGAAAGGGAAGGGGCTGGGGGGAGCCAGATTGAGAATAGAAGGTGGGGAGTGTGTCTCTGTGAGCTGCTCCCAGGAGCAGGGCCAGATGAGCGAGGGCAGGGGTGTCCCTCTGCAGGTCACACATGTGCCACCCAGTCGGAAGGGAGTAGGGGTTTGGATGAAGTTTGCCATGGTCGGTCGCCCTGCAGCTGCTTTGCTGCAGCCAGTTGAGCTCCCCATCCCGTCAGTGCCCCCTAAGGGCTGCACACACATCTCCTGGCCAGACAGCTGGATAAGGGGGGCTGCCACCACCCCACACCACCACTGCCATACTGCTTGCCCACAGAGCTGCATGTGCAACCGGACATGGCAAAGCAGCGCAGAGCATGGCATTGGCAGTGGCAGCAGGATCAGGCACAGGGACATATTCCAAACCCCCGTCTTCTCAATCTGGCTCCCTCTGGTCAGTTTCCCCCCACAGCCAGCTTCCGCCTCCAGCCCTGCCATGCAACCCCCAAGCCCCACTTACTTTACAGGCTCCAGGAATGAATAGTGAGCCTGATCCAAGCCTTGGGTGAGTGCAAGCCTCAGCCCACCCCCACTTCCCCCTCTCCCTCTCCCTCCGGACAGGGCTGGGGGTTTCCCCACCCTTTTTGCAAATAGCTCTGGCAGGAAAATAGCTCTGGAACTCTGCCAGTCTGAAGCACTCTTTGCAAAACCGGGAAATCTGTGGGAAATTCATGGTTTTCTCTGTTTTTCTGTGGGAAACGGAAAACCCAGATCCCTGGACATCACCCTAACAGAAATGTCCCCTTACTGAGGTATTAGTCTGAAATTCTTATCTGTTGCTCTCTGGCAGAAGCTACAACCATCAAGGAACTGAGCGTCTAGACTGGGTCTGGCCTTTGGATTCTGTCTCAGCGGTCTAAAGAAGGGATAGTAGGTTTTGAGTAGCCTCCACTCCTCCATACTCTTGCCCAGGCATGTGTGTCAAAGGTCTTGGTGACTAGACTCTTATGCATACACCATGATCCAGAGGATTGACGGTTGCCTACTAATATTTTAGACCTTTCTCTTTCTGTTTTTACATGTAAGGCAGGAGATGTCAACTGGGGGTATATCTACCCCTAGGGGTACTTGGACTGGTCCTAGGGGGTATGCATGGGTGGGTGGGGATGGAGCACTGCCACCTCCCAGGAGCAGGGCTGGGGTGGGGCGGGAAAGCTCACCAGGCTGGGGTGAAGGCAGTGGTGCCCCTCTGTGGGGCAGGGAAGCTTGCACACAGCAGCTGGTGCTGTCACACACCAGCCCGGTAAACTTCCCTGTCCACTGCCCTCATCCCAGCCTAGTGAACTTCCCCA